AAATTAACATGCCAAATTTGTCAACTATCATATATAGGACAAACTTGTAACCCATTAAATATACGAATAAACCTACATAGAAACCACGCTAAAAAATCAATTGGTAATATATATATGAAAGAACACAATCAATTACATACTTTTAACAACTTTAAGATAGAAATACTAGACATATGTCAAAACAAAAAACAACGACTATTATTAGAAAACAACTACATTTATAAACACAACACATTATTCCCTTATGGACTTAACGACGAATTAAACTACACATACAAACCACAAACAGAAGAAATTTCAACTTATGAAATCAGTTGCAAATATAAAAATGAATTTAAAACTAAACCTAATAAAACTAGAGGTAAAACTACAAATAAATTAGGTTACATTGAATTTGAAGAATTACTGGACCCAAAACAAATGTACACTAACAACTTCGTCGATAAATTTATTAAAACATTATTTAAACTAAATAATAATAAATTTATCAAACTCATAGAATATATTAAAATTCATAATCTGACTAACAGATTAATAGATATCACACACGACATCTTTAAATACAGAAAAATTAAACAAAATACTAATAACATTAATATTATCATTAAATTTAATAACAATTTATTTAATCATATTAAATTTAATGATATTTTTAATAACCAAATCATCAATAATCTTTTCCCTATAAAAAATTTAAATTTTAAAACAATCTGGAGATACAATAAAAATATAGGTAATTTAGTTTGCAATTATAACCAATTTATTAATAATTTGGCAAATTTTAAAAAAATTAAATGTAATTGCAACAACTATATTGATAAATATAAGTACTCAGGTCATATATTAACTAGCAACTTTTCTTTTTTAAATCCAGAATATCAAGAAATTTTAAATAAAGGGTATAAATATATACCTCAAATTAAACACAATTATAATAATACAATTAAATCTATATTAAAAGATATAGATATTTTCATAAATAAAACTAGTATAAAATACAGTATTCCAGAATTTACTTTTCTGGAATGGAAACATAATATTAAAAAGGAAATTTTAAATTATTATAATAATACACTTAAATACACAAAACCCAATTCAGACATTCCTTCTTTCAAAGAAAATATAATTAATTTACAGAAGGACTATATTATCACTCCTATAGATAAATGTCCCAATAATTTATCTTTAATTTGTAAAAATCTATACCACGATATACTAAAAAAGGAAATTGATAATAATCATAAATACACTTTTGCTAGAACTACAGGCACAAAAATCAAAAAAGACATCAAAAATGTTGAAAATTCACTAAAAATTTATAATAACCACAAAAATCCAAACATACCAAAGTTCTATATAATTCCTAAACTACACAAAAAACCTATTTCTTTCAGAACAATCACATCTGGTATAAATTCAGTCATAAAAAATATTGATATACAATTAGCCTCAACACTACAATTTATTATAAATAAATTAACTAATAAATATAATTATAAATTTATCGACTCAAATAAAAAAATCATTAATTATTTAATGAACAATTGGACAAATATTGAAACAGTACACACATTTGACTTTGAGGACCTATATTCTAAAATAAATTTAAGAGATCTAAATAATAAAATAACCAATTTATTTAATGAATTAATTAATGACAAAACTTTCTACATTAAAATTATTCATAACAAATATAAAACATTTAAATTAGATCTTAAAACAGCAAAAAATCTACTGGAAACATTTTTAAATTTTAACTATATAGAATTTAAAAATAAAATATATATTCAATCAGAAGGCGTTCCCATGGGTACTTCTTCTAGTCCGTTACTAGCAAATTTAATATTGTTCTGGTACGAAAGAGAATACTTTCTACAAAATAATATTAATTGGCAAATATTCCGATATGTAGATGACATAATAATATTTAATAATCCACTGTTTAAAAAATTAATACCTGAAATATATCCTAAATACTTGAAACTTAAGAACAATGAAAAAATTTATAGAAACAAAAAAGTTAACTTTTTAGACTTGAATATAGACCTTACAAATAGTGCTGTTAGAGTTTATAATAAAAAGAGTAATTATAATTTCAATATTATAAAATACTGTAATATGAATTCTAATATATCATTAAATTGCTGTAAAGGTATATATTATGGTCAGTTTCTAAGATTTTATAGAATAAATAATATATTAGATAATTTCATAGAAGATGTTAAAAATTTAAACATGGAATTTATTAAAAACAAATTTAGTATCAAACAAGTAAAATATTTCAACAGTATATCAATTATAAAATATTTAAAAAAAAATAAATGGAAATATCCATTTATGAAATCAACTTTCTATAATTTCTCTTAATATTAACTAAAACAAATTTATAATCTTTAACAGTTAATTAAACTTTTATTAAATAACTGATTAAAAGATTTTTTCACAAGATTTTTAAAGTTTTAAAGTATATATTTCATTTTTGTTTAATCTCCAATTTCTGGGGAGGAAAATGGAAGTTAAATAAAGATGAATTTGCACAATTAATAGCTTTATTAAACTCTTATAATTTGCCTTTTTAAAGGAATATTAAAAGATGATTAAGTGTTAAATCAGTTATTTTGATATAACTATCTGTAAAGATTATAAAACTTAACTTTCTTCCTTTAACTATTTTTCCTATCTTCTTTAATTTTCTTGTTGTTCAAAAAAATTCTGAAGAAATGGTCTAAATTTGAAATGTGGGGGGACATTCCCCTCCCGCGACATGTGCAAGCCAGAAATAGATATACACAATGGAGGACGCAGCGGTCAAGGTAGGTTTACAGTTTGAATTTGTTAACACTGGTATCTGTTATATGTTCATTTAAATATTTCACTGAAACAACTTAATATTAACACATAAAATACGGTTTAAAAGAGATCTATGACATAATAAAGGAGGGGTTGAAATGTCGCTGAAATTTTATCTGATGATCCCCGTTTCAGCAGATCTCTTTTTCCAATTTATTTCAATTTAAAGTTTTTTGTGTATGTCTGGTCTACCATTAGGGTTTCAAAACATAATATCCAAACTTATAACAAATGTTAATTCATACTATAGATATATTACTAAATACAACTATTTATAATCATATTATAAAATAAAAAAACCTTTAAAAATCTTTAAAAAAAAAAAAAAAAAAAAAAGGATAAAACATAAAATCATAAAAAAATATATATATATATACTAACAATGTTATCTACCTTCTTTATAAAACTCTCTTTTTTTTTTCCCTTATTATTAGTTTGATTAAAAGTGCATGGTTCTGTCTTTCTCTCTTTTTTCTAACTATTATATATATTATCTCTTCGATTATTCTATATATAGGATTAGAGTATGTCTGAATGACGTGTAAAAGCCGATGTAATAGACGTTACTTTGTTAATTTTTTTTATTGTTATTAATTATAAATATATAATTAACTTGAGGATGTAAAAGAAGTAATGGATTTTTTTTTTTTTTTCTCTCTCTATCTACAAATTAATAACATTTTACAAATTTTATAATTTGTATTTAAATGATCATAATAGTGAAGATAATTTTAATACAAAACTGGACTATAAAATTAAATAACTATTTATTATTATAATTAATTTAGATTTAGCTTGCTAATCTAATCAAATCTAACTGATATAAGTTATCATTATTATCAGTTTGCTCCTTAAATTTTTTAAAATTAGAATCACTGTTATAATTTTGTTATATAGTTTCTACACTATATGTAACAATATATATATATATATACAGCTTATGTTATAAACTGCCGTACTTTCTGAATTAAAGAAAAAGGAGAGATTAGCAAGGGGGAGATAGTTTTTTTTTTTAATTTGGAGCAGAACTGTATACATATTTGCATATTAAAAAAAAAGAACAAAATAAAAAGGAGGAAAATAGAAAACAATGAAAAGAGGAGGAAGAAAATCGAGTCTTGTTGTTTTCTCCTAGTTACGGCCCTGTAAAAAAAAACAACTAATCTTTTTGCCCTAGTCTTATGGTCATGACCTAGTTTTGAAAAAGAATTGTTTTCTTCTTATTATTATATTATCTCTCAGAATGTCTACACGTTCATGTGGTTAACGATTACACAAAGTTGAATAGAAACATATATCTGGGTGTGTGTGAAATCTCTCTCCCTGCTATAACTTTGGTGAAATACAGACAACAACAACAAAATAACAATGGTACTATAGACATCTGCTCATATCCACTCATGGACAACACTTAAGGAAGTTCCAGCATGTATATCGGGACAATAACTCTGAAAGATATTACAGTGACCTTTATTGAAGACACACGAGGTAACCAAGTGTGAACAGCCTCTGTCTCCTTCATTCTTTACTCCTTTACTTAATTTACTCATTTATTTTATTTTTTTATATATATATATTTTATAATACCACCAATGACTTGTGTATGATGCCAATAAAATATTTTTAAATCTCAAATCTGTCTCCTTCAAAAAGACGGACGAGTGGCGATATCAAAGACTTTCCACTTCCTTAAGTTTTGTCCATGAGTGTATATCCATCTATTTCTCCTTAACCATCTATCTCTCCTCAACCATCTATAGTTTAGTAGCTGCCAGTCCTTTCACAGCTTCCTTTATAGAATCAGTCTTTTTTACGGTAGTGTATTCTCCCGAACGTGTCCATGGACACTCCATTCTCGATAATCCACTTACTTGTCTTCCCTCCATACCTCACTCCCTCCAGAAATACCGTTAACCACTCTAAATACTGGACGTGATGTGCAAATAGGTTTGTTATTCTTGGTTTACTTGTCTCCAGTAGGCCCCATGTTTCTCCTAGATCATTTTATATAATATAATATTTGATTTGATTTTTCTTTGAAAAGAAACTCATGCGGTGTAACTTCAAGTGTTGTTTTACAATCACAAGCCGCAGTGTATTATATTGTATTATAAGTTACTCTATGTATTATTTATGAACGTAAAAATACGTCCAGGGTAGCTTAGTGGACATGGCATCTGCCCGGTAAGCGGAACATTGTGGGTTCGATTCCCATCCCTGAACACTTTTATTTTTCCGTTCATCATTACTCTTCATAATTCACCCTTTCATACCTCATCCAAAAAGGTTAGAAATAGTCAATATTTCACCTTGAAATAAATTTTGATTTTTCATTGAAAAGAAACTCATGCGGTGTAACTTCAAGTGTTATTTTATAATCATTTTATACATCATCCTTTCATTACTTAGTCTGTCATTCCATGATAATCTCATCAATCTCATTAAATTCACTGAAACGTCGGGAGTTGAATAAACTATTGATTTTCATTTTAATGTATAAGCATTATTTTGGGCAATATATGGATCTCCAATTTTTGGTTGTTTTGAATGGCACTTTTTTCAACCAGTAGGACTTGGTTTGCAGCTAGTTCGTACAAATCTGTTCCGTAGCACATCCTCTAATTTTATTTTTCATTATTACAGTGACCTTTATTGAAGACATACAAACAAAACTTAAGAAAGTTGTACTTTTTAGCATGTATAACAGTCACACACACACAAAAAACCTTTATTAAGACACACAGGTCTTACAGAAGATTCTCCTTGGGGTTACAAGACGGAGAAACCCATGAAAGTGGGAAATATACAAAGGGGTAAAAATGGAGAAAGATTATATACACATGGTAAATATATACAGATTATTATTATTTGAATAATCCTAAGGAAAGTAAGAAAAAAAATTTTTTTTTTTGAAATATGGGTGGGAGAAGTGGAGAGCGAAAAGAGGAAAGAAAACAGGTATTTACATATGGAACATACATATAATGGAACAAGTCAATTTAAGCTCTTCTGCTCACACAGCACAGGTACATCCTCTAATTTTAACATTACACTAAAACTTTTTTTTTAATATCATTTGTTGGTTAAAAATTGATTTGGAGGGGAAAAAAAAAAACTATTGATTGTTGTGGCTGTTTTTTTTTTTATCCTGAATCAACTTCCAACAATCTTCAGATAAATTACATATACATGTAAAAGTATATTTTTATTGACAAAATTTCATTTTGTTGTTATGGTGATTTGCACTAATCAATCAAATATTATATTTTATTTTTATATTCTCCCCAACGTTTCGGCGACTTTCTACCGTCTTTATCAAAGGATATGTAAATAGGGGATCACGTGTTTCACTGGGGCTTCTCAGTTAACGTAACATTTGCATATAAGTAGCGCAGCTAAACTGTGGGGGAGACAGAAAGTAAACGTTGGGAAATATGCAAATAAAATAATGGGTTGATATCTCCATATATAAACATAAACGTTGAAATTTGGTCCGATAAATGGCAGTAGTAATCTTTTTCTGCAAATTAGTTGCATACTTAGGAGTTACCTAAACGTTGAGTATGTACAAATAAAAGATAATAATTTTGGTTGATGTTTTATCTTCAAACACACACACAAAAAACAACGTTTAGTAAAGATTTCGTTCTATATATTGAAGAGTAGCCATCTCTAGCCTTTTTTTGCATATTTAGGAAAGCTGTCTTTGTTCCTATGCACTGCGTGTTGAGTTGGCGAATTGTGGACGCGGTAGAAATGAATTGTTCTTGTTATCGGTATATTTGGAGACCTAAGTTTCCATATAAATGGTTCCAAGCCCGTATATAGCGGTCGCTATATTTAAAAGAAGGTCTGCGGTGAGTTTAACGAGAGTTCCATTTACGTAATTGGCTGGCCTCAATGGGCGAGAAAAGTACAGAACCTAATAGGACTGTCCTGTTTGGGGGACTTCCCAGAACCTTCCGGGGGTGACTCAGCTGGCCTGACAACAAACAATATCACCGCCGTGGGGTTTTAACTTGTCCCCAGTACGTATGATACAGGCCATGATAGTCATATAGTGGGGTTGTGACAGCTTACACTGTAAGTACACCACATGTCTACACTCGTAGTACCTGGCCATGATAATCATGGTAGGTAGAGGGTTGTGACAGCTTGTACTGTAAGTACACCACATGCCTACACATGTAGTACCAGGCCTTGATAATCATGGTGGGTAGAGGGTTGTGACAGCTTGTACTGTAAGTACACCACATGTCTACACATGTAGTACCAGGCCATGATAATCATGGTAGGTAGAGGGTTGTGACAGCTTGTACTGTAAGTACACCACATGCCTACACATGTAGTACCAGGCCTTGATAATCATGGTGGGTAGAGGGTTATGACAGCTTGTACTGTAAGTACACCACATGTCTACACATGTAGTACCAGACCATGATAATCATGGTGGGTAGAGGGTTGTGACAGCTTGTACTGTAAGTACACCATATGTCTACACATGTAGTACCAGGCCATGATAATCATGGTGGGTAGAGGGTTGTGACAGCTTGTACTGTAAGTACACCACATCTCTATACATGTAGTACCAGGCCATGATAATCATGGTGGGTAGAGGGATGTAACAGCTTGTACTCTAAGTACACCACATGTAGAAACCAGTTCGAATTTTACATTTACAAGGTACCAGAGCCCTGTTAAGTTACTTACATTTACTGGAGGGATTTAACTTGTGCAAGAATAAGAAAGCCATTGAAATATTGAAGTACAGACATTGCTGTACTGACGAGGGCCACTTGATTGACACCTCGTGAGTTCAGGGATGGCTGATAGAGAGACCGTATATACAATGGCCTGTTTGCTGGTTCAGCGGTTAGCAAGGTGGCCAAGGTCAAATATTATTATATTTATTCACTGACAATACTTAAAAAGAAAAATAAACATTCAAAACCTATTATATTAAAGTTTCTATTCCAGATTAAATGATGAAAAAAACATACATAATACAGTATGTAGTATACAGTTTCACGATAAGGAGATGCCTTTTTCTTAATTTATGCACCTTATCCCAGTACGATATTACATTTGTACTATTTTTTTCATAATACAGTATATATATATATATTTAACTATAAACGTATAGGCAATAATATACATATATGCAATGCACAGGCGTATATATATATGCAATACTTGAATATTTCTCTTCTATGCAAATTTTTATTTAGGGTAAACTCTTTTATTTATAAATATGTATCCATGTATCCATGTATTTCCATTTTCCGCTAGAATGTATTTACTAGAATTTATATGGTATCTTCTATCATTTTTTATGGGATGTGGGTTTTAAAAAATACATTTACATATCATACTCTTTATCTCGTTAGGAAATTCCACGTCGGTATGGTGGACAGGACAAGACACCAACACCATCTCGACGTGGGATTTCCTATAACAAAATAAATTCTCTAATCTCTAAATGAATTAATAACGGTGAGAAGTTAAAAATGGAGTCACAGAAACCCAGAAATAAGTTCTTACCAAGAAAACGGAAGAAACGCCAGGTAATGCATTAACATGAGGTGCTCGTGCGTGTAGCACGTGGCCAGTTCTGAGAGCAAATATTTGGCGTTTATTCCAAGTATCGCCTGAAATACCCGTTCTTAGTGGCCGACGTCTCTTGAAAGGCTTTCTTTCCTTTTCTGGGTAATTGTGCGATGTGGGCGAATCCTTTGTGTCAGGAGGATATATGGAAGTACGAGGATTGAAGCCATATTCTCCTCATAGGAACATGTGTAAACTATCCTACAATTTGTTTAGAGAATGTGTAAATATAGTAGATACCTGGAATTTTCTTCAGAAAAAAACTTTTTGCAAAAAAAAAAAAAGTTTACTTCACCGGTGGAACCACTGTCTCGGGAGTGGATAGGCCGGCTAAAACATGGTGGAACTTTTTCGGGAGTGGGAAAGCCCGCTATAACACGGTGAAACCACCATCTCGGGAGTGGGAAAGCCCGCTATAACACGGTGGAACCACCACCTCGGGAGTGGGAAAGCCCACTATAACACGGTAGAACCACCACCTCGGGAGTGGGAAAGACCGCTATAACATGGTGGAACCACCACCTCGGGAGTGGGAAAGCCCGCTATAACACGGTGGAACTTTTTCGGGATTGGAGAAGCCCGCTATAACACGGTGGAACTTCTTCGGGAGTGGGAAAGCCCGCTATAACACGGTGGAACCACCACCTCGGGAGTGGGAAAGCCCGCTATAACACGGTGGAACTTTTTCGGGAGTGGAGAAGCCCGCTATAACACGGTGGAACCACCACCTTGGGAGTGGGAAAGCCCGCTATAACACGGTGGAACCACCACCTCGGGAGTGGGAAAGCCCTCTATAACACGGTGGAACCACCACCTTGGGAGTGGGAAAGCCCGCTATAACACGGTGGAACCACCACCTTGGGAGTGGGAAAGCCCGCTATAACACGGTGGAACCACCACCTCGGGAGTGGGAAAGCCCTCTATAACACGGTGGAACCACCACCTCGGGAGTGGAGAAGCCCGCTATAACACGGTGGAACCACCACCTTGGGAGTGGGAAAGCCCGCTATAACACGGTGGAACCACCACCTTGGGAGTGGGAAAGCCCGCTATAACACGGTGGAACTTTTTCGGGAGTGGAGAAGCCCGCTATAACACGGTGGGACCACCACCTTGGGAGTGGGAAAGCCCGCTATAACACGGTGGAACCACCACCTCGGGAGTGGGAAAGCCCGCTATAACACGGTGGAACCACCACCTCGGGAGTGGGAAAGCCCTCTATAACACGGTGGAACCACCACCTCGGGAGTGGGAAAGCCCGCTAGAACACGGTGGAACCACCACCTCGGGAGTGGGAAAGCCCGCTAGAACACGGTGGAACCACCATCTCGGGAGTGGGAAAGCCCGCTATAACACGGTGGAACCACCATATCGGGAGTGGGAAAGCCCGCTAGAACACGGTGGAACCACCACCTCGGGAGTGGGAAAGCCCGCTATAACACGGTGGAACCATCACCACGGGACTTATGACACAGCGGAGCTAGGTGGGTGGGTAACCCCAACAATAAAATAACTGCAAACACCTGTAACTCTATGCAGGAAGTGAGGTACTGTCAATCAACAACTCTACAAACAGCCAACCCGGAACCTCCTATGTCAACATCCCGCATGAAACCATT